GGCACGCTTCATCATAACACAATTCATGCGAAAGTCACCACCGCGTCCACATTGTTGGGTGGTGGACCTCGTCAATAGCGAAGGCCAAACTGTCGGAGACAAAGGTGTCTGAGGAGGCGCGAGTAAATTGTGAGCGTGGGAAGGGGTTGAGTGCCAACAATATTGATCTTGAGAAGAAGAGGACTCGATCGCTGGGACAATATTTTATTCGCCTGACGTTTCGACGTCCGTCGCGGATTCATCATCAGAGATATTAGCAGAAAAGGGTAGCATCCATCTCGCCTTTCGCCCCAAAATTCTAACTGCTTTTGAAAACCGCAGTTCTTGTACTTACTTATGTTTGGTACGACTGTGAGCATGCCTGACCTAGCCGGCCTAGTCAATTGCACTTCTACGCGTAACGAACTGCGGCAGTCGAAATGAAGAGCTCGAGCCGTCTTATCATTCGATCACTGAGGCGGAATACTGAAGGTGTAAGAACCACGCATGTGCGTCTAGGTAATAGGTTGCACAGCTCTTTCTAATTCGCAAGGCCTCATCCGATGTTACTTAACGGGAATTCCCTAATATCTCATTAAGTTCTAATGCCGTAAAATAAACTTTCAAGGTCTTCTGCTATGGCGGTTTCTGTCCCCCTTGTCTTCGGCAAGCTACAGTAAGTCGGTTTAAAGGAGCCACTCCGGCAGGCATTGTCCTGGCACTTGCAACATGGCCAGCACTGCAACAATGGTGGTTGTCCCCGAGTTTCGGTGACCGGAATTAATTTTCGTCTTTCCACCTTGAGAATCTCTCGAAAACGACTTTAGCGGAGCTGACTGAGTCTACTAACTTTCTAATAACGGAGGGCCAAAGTTTTAATGTGGTCGGTACAATGAGTGGAAAATCAAATGCAACTACGGACGAAGTCCGTCGTAATTAGAAGTGAAGCCCGAAGCTTCTGATCCAGTGTCCTATCGATTTACCGTAATGACTCAGAAGAAGAGCGTCCAAAATCAAGGGGACCGTATCTCATAGCATTTTCTCCATGCCTGAACAAGTTTGCTGTCGTCTGTTCTTCACTTTTCAATTGTTTCTTCTCGGAAAATAGTGCTCCCTGTGACAGGGCCTGGTCTAGCCAGCTTACGACTAGTAAAGGAAAATATTTGCAATCGGAGGCAGAAATGCACTTATCGTTGGCGTACATAGGTGTAAGGTGAGATTGACTACATGCTGTTTGACCATATCAACAACGAGATCTACGAAAAAACGTTTCCTCGTACCAGTAAATTGAGGAACAAAGCTTCGGATCCTTAAAATTCCCAATAAGCACAGGGCGCATAGCTTCAAATCTCAGCTCAGCAGTACGAAAACTGTACCAGGAAATTAGCGGGGCAGTTTCACAAAGTTTTGATTGATTTGCTGGAAAGACAGAAGCGGAAGGAGCAGAGCATGTGCCACCAAGGAGCGGACATAAAATTCCAGTCATCAGTACAGCACTGGTTGACACGACACCACAGTGATGGTTGAATCATCCTTGTGATAAAGTGATGACAATAAGGCTGCTTCAGAAATGACAGCAGGGTGATGAGTCATACTAGGCGGTACTCCGGAAATATGTGTAGGTGCGCTCGAAGCGTAATGAGAATGAGCACGTACACGCATAAGTTAGCAGACTGGGGGCGCAGCCTAAGAGGTACGCTACTTCTCGGGTGTAGTACCGCCAGCAAAAAAAACAAACTCTGAGACGGACGGCAGCCGCCTGTCAAATTGAAGAGCTTCAAATGAATGAATTATTTGGTCCTACATATCAAGTCCACAGAGAACAAACCTGCACACAGGAGCCTACTATTCCAACACAAAGGCACGATTCAGGTGCTGGCATGCCATGGGCGTTCCGAGGAAGCGCAACAAAAAGGGTTGCAGATTTTTTTAACAGACTTACTGAGTCTAAGCCAGTTTAAAATGAAATAAATGAAAAGATATAATCCATAGCCCAAGGTCGGAACCTTTAGACAAGAGGATTGGAAGCAGCATGCAAAAAAAACAGTCAACCAAAATTGAATGAGACGGCAGAAGGTACCTTCAGGCAACTTCTTCTTACACACGCGATGACACATGGTAAAGAAGGAGTTGTAGTATTCAGTTATGGCTTGGTCCGACTTCTTGGCGAGATTAGCCAGCTGCTTGAAGTTATTCCAATTATAACCGGCAAAGACACGTTTCTTGGGACTCCTCTTTCGTTGAGGTGAACTGCTGGGATCAGTTGCAGACTCCGCTGCCTTCATCACTTGTTCCACACCGTAGCTGGAGACCACGCGATAGAAGTCGGCCTCTTCGCGACGCGACCATTTTCTAGAACACGCATAAGACGTCGGAGGGTTTAGCGTTGCGTTTAGGTGCGGCAAAACATATTTTAAATAAAAAGTATGCCAACTCACATAAGTCGCTGTTCCATGTAGGGCTGAGCCGTCACCGTCGGTAGATATTCTGCGCGCTGGTGCTAAATAGAAAAAAAATACATAAATGCCTCCATTATAAATTTTAAAAAAAACTGTTGACAGACTGTGCTGAGCGGTCCAGTAGTTTGCAAAATGCCGAAAATGCATCCGTGAGCTCACGCCCTTAACAACTCGCAGTTGAATGAAAGCCCGAAGTAGAAAACCACACCATGGCACCACAGACTTCCAGGAAAAGTGACTCTGCATAGCAAGGAACTCGACTGGGAGTTCTGAATAACACAAACGCTGTCTGCCTGCTGATTTACCCAACAAGGCGGAGACCTAATGTATTCAAGTTGGACCTAATTAGCTATTAAGGCTGTGAAGTGGAGTGATCTAGCCAACGACAGACCCGCTCAGGAAGGAGACGACATGTGGGGAGAGGGAAGGCTCCAACGCACCGATTGGCCTAGGGTTAGCTAAAAGCTTCCTAGACTTGGCAAAAAGTAGGCGATAAGCTTTCGGAAGAATGGAGGGGTTAGGAGAAGTTAATGTCTAAATTAGAAGATTGTGCAGAACAGCAGCATCAGGATGGTCTGTGAACGTTTGACGATAAACGTTTACCGATCGCTAACGGGACTCACTCGTCCCGCTTTCTGCCTTAGGCCTCATTCGCGAGCCCTGACAGCAGCCACACAGCGACTAGTAGTCTAGACGAATATTATTGCCAGGAAGGACCAAGGTGGCTGGAAGAGGCATTTTTGGCTCATTGGCCGTGATCAGCGAGTCATACACAACCCCAAGTGTCGCACCACCCGAGCTTCCAACTCGCGATTTTTTTATCAGAGTCTAACGCCC